TAATACATCTACCTCAACTTCAGAAGAATCGTTATTCGCTGGTGCCTTTGTGAGTTGTTCAGTTAAATAATTGAGATGCTTGCGTTTTGCTCCACTGTTTGTATATTTAGAGTACAGCTTCCCGCATGGTGCTCTTTTGCCTTTTTGACACAAATGAAATAGTAATCCTATTTAAAAAAAAAAAACAAATTAATAGTATATAATAGTCACAGCTATATAAACTTTTATTTAGTTGTACCTCAGCACTGTTCTCCGTAGGTAAATGACTAATTATTTGCTGAACTAAACCCGAAAAATCGGATGCTTTAATTAAAAGGTTGTTAACATTTGCGTCTTCTACAATAAGTAACCGTTGGTACGTAGTTTATTCTTAGCTTTTCTACCAGATTTCCCAAAAAGTCTGGAAAACCGATCGGTGAAACTCTAATTCTAACACTATAATGTAACTTGCAATCAACAATTTGTTCCAAGAATTATTGTTTATCCTCCTCACCTACTTTGTTATCATATAATTATATATATACAATTATACGAAGGAATGCACCTAATTCTTCATGCTTCCCTCGATCTTTAAATTTTTTTTTTTATATGTGCAATCTCCTCACCAAGAGGGTGCAATCTGCCTAAACTGTCAATAATATATAAGATGGCTTCGATTGGGACGCAGTGCTCGAATCGTTCACCGTCGACACACCCGTACCAGAAAAAATTGCGGGATTCAAATGCGGGCAACCAACCCTTACCAGCTATGGGAGAGGGGATCTGTGGCTTCCTAGGTAAAATTCAACAACTTTCCTATTATCAGTTGCTAGCGGAGAACCTAAAACATTTTACCTATCCTGTTACTCGTTGCTTTAATTGTTTAGAACTATGTCCAATTTTTATAGTTTATATTGCCCACTTTGGTAGTATAGTTTTGCTGTGAACTTTCTGGAGGTTTAAAATTTTTTTGGATTGTTTATGATGATCAAAACATAACAAATGCCTAAAGCTTTCTTACATTTAACCCTAATAATAAATAATAAAATATAATAATAGTAAATGATAATATAATATGATAACATGCTGTCGGTCGCTGTTTGATAAGGTCAGAATCGATTATAAAATGACATGTTTCAGAGTTTAAAACAAAGTGTATTATTTCATACTGTTTAGTTAATTCAAATATGATAACATAACATAACATATTGCTTACTGTTTGATTAGGCCCAGACCGATAATATAATATATTTAAAATTTTAAAACAAAATGTATTATCTCGTACTGTTTATTTACAATATTTACAAAATATGATATTCTATAAAAATATTGTGTGTGTTACTGAAGATTGTTTGTTTAGAAACAAACGATCTTCTGTTATTTTTATAGTTCTGTTGTTTTTTTAACTCGCGTGAAATGCACATATATTTCGTTTTAATAATTACTTTAAATTAGTTATAAAATTTATTACAAAGTAATTTTCTTTTCTATATCAAAGGCTTTATGTGAGCATAACAGAATATAGTATATTTAGCTGACCTTAGTAGTAATATATGTTTTCGAAGCTATGTATTTCTCCTCGCGGAATAGAGCTTATTAAAAATAATAGATCTGAAAAATTTATTATTTTGTGATTCAAAGTTATATATATGTATATTAATTTGAACAACATGATGGAACACTTCAAATGTTTCAAAACGTTTGAATTGCTCGCGAGGGTCCCGAATATCAAAATTCGGGACGCTCGAATTATTATATTTAAAACGTTAATACTAAAATATCACAAAATAATAAAAATACAATTATTATTCATATAATAAAAATTTTTTGTATATTTAACAAAAAGGATATTCGGTTGTAGTCAAAAGTTATACATACAAATTATAAAATTTTTTTATATCAATTATTATAATTAATATTATAATTATAAATTGTTCATGAATGAATGAAATTTAAATTTCTTAAAATTATTTTATATAAAATTATAATAAATTGTTTATTATTTTATACTTGTATTAATAGAAATATTAGATAGTTTATTTTGTTGAAATATTTTTGTTTAACTTAAAAATAAAATTTTTTTTTGTATTAAATCTTTTGTCATCAATTCATAAAAATTATGCACTAATAATCTATAATGCTTAAATTAAGATATCATTTAATTTCAAACAATTCTATATGAGATTTATTTTCTGAACTCACATTTTGTGCGTAAACATAACAAAAATTGAAAAAAATGTAAAATGTATTGAATCAATGAAAATAAAACAAATTGTACTTTTATTTAAAAAATGAGTTTATTTTATTTTAATTATCATATTGTGTTAATGAATTTGATTACTCTAGGGCAGGACTGTAAAAAACGCGGGCCACATGCGGCATCTAACAGAATTACGCAAATATTATTTTGCTGTACTGATAAAACTACGTTATTTTATTTTTGTTTTACCAAATATATTAATTTAACCACTTTTCAAACACAACAATCTTAGCGTGAAGAACAGAAAACTGATCCATAGCCAGATAATTAGACCAGCATTACTTTATGGGTGTGTCGCGCATAGGAAAGCTGCCGACTCTACTATACAAAAGCTACAAGTCGATCAAAGTCAGGCTCTCCGCAGGTTCTTCAAAGTGCCTTGGTACATCCGCACAAACGGCATAGTAAGAGACCTTAGAATAGACCCGATCAAAAAATACATAAGGGACAGAGCCCTGAAGTTATATGCGAAAATTGACAGGCTATCCTACTTACCACTATCTAATCTTAGAGTAATCACTCTCCGCACGGGGAGGTACGCAGATCTTAGATCAATCACTGAATAATCATGAAGCTTATAGGCAATACATAAATTAGTCAATGAGATGGGTGGGACCCTGTAGTACCCCCAGCTATCAAAGAGTAAAAGTGCCCAGTTGCGCTGACTCGAAAAAAGGATCAACATACATACATAAATTTAACTTAATATATTAAGAAATTTAACATTATAATCGTATTTTTACTTTTGTCGAAAACAACTATGAACGTATGTATTTGTTTCTGCGGTCCTCCAATATGTACAGTGATTTGTATTGGCCCGCGATCGCATCTGATCTGGACAGTCCAACTCTAGGCCATCATTTTTAATAATGCAGTGAAATTTTGTACTTATGAGTATCAGTCTGTCAGTTGTTCTGCACATAGGGCATAACAGCTTCATATAATATTAATTAACTTATTAAAAATATATTGCAAGTTTAAAAGAAATTATATAAATGTTGGTATTATGGAGACGATATCAATTCATAGCAGCGTATAACTCACGACTGTTGCAAACTATAATTGGTCACATGAACGAGTAATCCGTAGAAAATATATTACTTGTATCACGTTTCATAATAGACGATAGTTAAATCTATTAATGTATAATAGTATTTTAAATAAATATATAAACTTTTGAATAAAAAACTTATTAATATTTTTATTATTTTATAGGTAAGTAATTTGTGTATATGTATTTTCTAATCTTTTTGTACTAGAACTAACTATTTTTAAATGGCTAACTTCAAAGCAAGTAATATATGAATTATGTTACAGTATAAATTACTTAATACAAAAATTGAATAGCAAATTTATAGAACTTAAGTAACGAAAAAAATATGTAATAATTAGTGTCAGGTAACATATCTTAATTTACCTTCAGCTCAAAAAGTATCCGGATTTTGTTGTTTGTTAATTACTCCGTAAGTAATAGTCCTTTAGAACTTTACCACTTTTTATAGACCAATTAATTTGTTTACAGCAGCTGTTAATGTGAGACTACCTCAAGTGCATTTAGCGATTTTTACTATGGGAAATTCTTGTTGTAAGCGATTTTTTGACCAAAAACGGCACCACTGTCATCGCTTAGGCACCATATTCGCCAGATCTGGCGCCATGCGACTTTTTCCTGTTCCCGAAACTCAAATTGCCTCTTCGTGGTAAACGTTTTAAGTCGATTGAATCGGTAAAAGAGAATTCGTCGAAGGAACTAAAAGTTTTTGTACATGAATATATCGTACATCAAATTTTAATTACCGAAGTTTGTGCCCACACCAATGAAAGGAAACCCGATTTCTTAATATTTAACATAACATGTAACATAACAAATCTATAAGTTGTATCATTTCCTACAAATATGTTTATCTTAATGCTTATCTTAAGGCTCAGTTAGACGGTAAGTAACGTAAGAAATTAATTCAAAGCGGAATGCACAATCAACCAAACCTGCGTATTTGATAGGAGCGAAATAAACAATAGGGGTATCTTTCAGTTGTTTATAATTTAAATCTTTAGATTTGGGATATTTGTTTATATCACAAATAATTCCATGTTCTCCCCTTAAACCAAACTCGTGGGACTGTATTAGGTGTTGACCGTCAAGGAATGGTTTTAGCTTTAAAAGCAATGCTCTTTCAAAGAGTTTAGAAAGGCATGACAGTAAGATTATTGGCCTGTATGAAGGGACAAACGTGGGATCTTTGCCTGATTTATGAATCATAATTGTCATGGATGTTTTCTACTCTGTTGGGTAAAAGCCAAATTTAAGAATGGCATTAAAACGTCTTGTGATAAAATTTATGTCCAAAAGGGGTAAGTTTTTTATCATGATGGGTGAGATGTTATCATATCCTGGTACCTTTTTGCAATCAAACTTGTTGGCGATTATTTGAACAAGGTCACTGACCGTAATATTCATGTCAATAGGTAGTAAATATAGACGCTGAGTGGGAAAGTCATTAGGTTCTGTTGAAGAATTTGGTGAAAACACGTCTTTTAGGTAATCAGCAAATGCTTTAGATTTTTTTTCATCTCTTCGCGCCCAGTTTCCGAGAGAATCGGATTCTATGAGATATTTTATATCTTTGCTAGCATTCCATAAGGATGAATGTTTTT